GAGAGAGAGAGAGAGAGAGAGAAGGGGTTTGGGGGTCTATGGGAACAAAAGTAGTATTAAAGAGAAAAAAGTAGACCTCCTCTGCGTATATATTTCTTATATCACGTAGCGGTTAAAATGATCACGAAACTAAAATAATAAATATAGCACCGACCATAAAACCATAATATATCCTCCAATATTAATGCATTACTAGATTCTACATGTTGGAAAACTTGGACTTTGCCGACGACTTGGCACTTCTTTCTCACAGTCGAGCCCAGAAGCAACAGAAAACAGATCACCTCAGGACCTTCTCCCGTAGTGTTGGACTCAATATTCCCTCGGATAAATCGAAAGTTCTACGAATAAATGCTGCCGAAGTTCCTATCACACTGCAAGTAGTGCAAGGGGCACCATTGGCGGATGTTGAATCCTTCACCTACCTGGGAAGTGTCATCAACAAGGCAAGGGAAACAGACGAAGACATCAATGTCAGAATCCAAAAGGCAAGAGCAGCATTCATCATTCTCAGGAATGGATCTAAGGAACTGGGATTGAACACCAAGCTGAGGATCTTCAGAACAAACGTGAAGACTGTTTTACTGTATGGTTCAGAGACAAGGAGGCTTTAGGCTTTAGTGAGCGAAATTTTGCACATCACTCTCCATGTACAGAACGATGACTCCGCGCTGATCTTTTTCTTGAACTTGAACAACATTTTTACCACTCACGTAACCCACATGCAAATTATTAATTTGAAATTAACATGTTAGCGACTAAAGCTCCGCCGAAATTATGAAATCGTCTAAATTAAGTTCAGGTCAACACATTGGCGATTTCTGAACAAAAAAAAAGTTACATACGCATGGTTTTTATTTACCTCAATTGCTGTACACATGATGCCAAGGTTAAACCCCGAGGAGCACTGTTCGGCAATTTGAATACTCCACCAAGCTGTACTGTCGGCCCGTAGAGTGTCGCGGTTGCTTCATTGCTCCTCTCTTACCATCAATAACCAGAATGATAGGTTCCAAGTCACTGGCGTCGCACCTGATAGACCCCGACCAGGCAGACCACAGGTCAACACTGCCCAAGAAGACAGATACTGCTCTGGCATCTTCGAGGTCGCTTTCTCACAACGACCAGCTTTGCACGTCAATTGCATAACATAACATACACTGGAAGAGTTATAAGCGAAAGAAGGATACAACGGTGTTGAAACACATTCGGACGTCGAGCTAGACGGTCCTATAACTATAATAATGACCAACGCTTGCCGTCTTTCCAAGAATTACGATTGAACTGACTGGGCAAATCGTCACGTTCGTCTGGGACGAAGTTCTCTTCTCGGACAGTTTGGAGACATAAAGGAGGAGGAGGGAGAGAGAGAGAGAGAGAGAGAGAGAGAGAGAGAGAGAGAGAGAGAGAGAG